AGGCCTCCATGCATTGGGTGAAAGTCAGACTTTCATAATCACAGTGCGGGACATTGTCTCAATGTGCGGGACATTGTCTCAATGTGCGGGAAGAAGGGAGAGAGGAATTAAAATGGTCCCACATAAAGAGGGACATCTGGACAAGCTGCGTGTGGTGGAGGGAAACACCTTTGGTTCATCTGACTTTGCTGTTTCATTAAAACCATTTTTAATTTAAAAACGCTCGCTAATGTGTACTCATGCACTATATACACAAAACAAAAGGTCATAAAGTAATCCACTTAAACCATGTCACAGTTACAACCATATAAATGTGCAGGAACGTTTATGAGACCTAAAATCTTTTTTCACTCTGAAAGTTGAACTTCGATCATCATCTTTGTTGTTGTTTAATAGTTTAAGACTCTTCAAGTGCCAGGTCTCTTTCTTCTAATGTCTCTTCCATAAATCAAATTTCCCACTACAACGTTTTAGAGACGTGGCTGCATTCATCACTCACAACGAAACAGCCTGGAGATGAATGCTAGCCGGATGTAATTAATCACTACAGTCATGGTGGTCCTCAAACAGTGGAAACTATTTCACACATTCACATATATCAAAATCTAAAATAACCACCACAACAACAGTAAGAACAACAGACCTAAAGCCACAATAATGAACCACTGCACTAATGCAAGACCTCATTTTGCTGCTACTAAGCAACTAGAAATATCTGACTGTATCATTTGTATTACACATACATGTTCTTTCTGCATATTTGGTTGATGTTCTGTTAAAATGAAACTACTTCAAACATTAGAGACTGTTCATTTCTTTGAAAGTGCTTTTCAAAGCAAAAAAAAATAAAAACACCCAGTCCTGTGCCTCCCCACTGACGAGATATTTTGCCTGTAAATGATTCATCTTAAACCATAAAAGGTATAATACTGGGCCAAATTCTGTACAGCAGTACATCAGTGTAAGTGTATGTGCTGCACTATGTTATCTGGATCACGTTCAACCTTTGGCTGAGGAAAAAAAACCAACTTAATAACATCTATGCTGCCGGGTTTCTGCTGCTGTACTCGTCTCATAATGAAGTGGAACACGTCGCACCAGCTCACCGATCTGCGCTCCACGTGTGGCCGAGAATTGATTTCAAAACGCGTTTCATTCATAGATCACCGAACGGGCTCGGCACAGAATTACATTTTTGATCTGCTGATATGTTATGAACCAGCCAAACCTCCCACTGAGAAGCAGCATTCGTCCTGTGAGCTCCACATTTATGGAACTCTAACACATTTCAGTCGGGGCTTGAAATTTTTGCTCTCTTTAGTTCTATATTTATTTAAATCTCTGCCTTTCCTTTAATGTCTTACTGAGCTGTTTTACATTTAGTTTTTTCTTCTTCTCCTTAAGAACTTCCAGTCATATCCTAACAAGACTTTTGTTGGAGGATGCTCAAATCATGAAGTTAGAGCCCCAGACCCCCACATGTGTGGGCTCCCTCCACAGCTTGTTTTTATGATATGGTTCCAGTGAATGATTTAAAGTAGGGGTGTCAAACATAATGCCCGGGGGCCACAAAGACACAGTGCAACTCCTGGCCTCCTCTACACTTCTCCAGTCACTCTCTCAAATAAAGAGGATCTATTAAAACTAAACAGGAGCTTGGATCTTAGGAGGTGACCAGTTTTTCAAAACAAGCTTTTTGTGATTACTTCACACTTAGTTAAAGAGAATGATCCAGATGCTGGTAAAACACAGAACTGTGTTTAAAAATCCACGTTTGACTCAAGCAGTGAGTCAAACGCTCAAACCGTCTCATTACCGTCAGATGATCTTCACTTCTGCTGGAAGTTTGTTGGGACTTCCAGCGGCCAGAATGAAGACAAGGAAAATTTTCTCTTTCAGACAGGAAAAAAAACTTTAACGTATATTAACAGTGTTGGGGAGTAACGGAATACATGTACCGCCGTTACGTATTTAAAATACAAAATATGAGTATCTGTATTCTGTTACAGTTACCGTTTAAAAAGGTGGTGTTTAGAATACAGTTACATTGTTGAAATAAATGGATTACACAGCGGTATTTTCCTGTTTCATATTGTCACGGGTCAGGATTGTTTGGGTTTTGTTTGATAGCTATGTTCTGTTGTTCCAGGCGGCAGCGTTACGGTTGCCATGGTTACAGGGTGACGAGCTCTCTCTGCGACTGTGTGTTTCCTGGGTGACAGAGGCCTTTTTGTTGTTGTTGTGCTAAGTTAGGCTGTATCCCAATTCAGGGTCTGCAGCCTTAAAGTACGCATTTCAAGGCCGATTACGTCACAGCGGCGCGCCGAAGGCTGTCCCAATTCAAAAGGCTGCTCGAAATGCGGCCCTGAAATGCGTCCTTCATTTCCCTTAATTTTAAGGGTGTGGCAGTGTAGACTTCGTGGCCCAACATATCCCAGAATGCATAGCGCGGGGGTGGGTGTGGATAATTTTGCCGAAAAAAACGGCGGATGAGGGGCGGCCGAAGAGTAAACTTTAAGTACTGAATATTATGTCACTTAGTTGGCCACATGTCGGCAAAGTTATGTGACATTAGTAACGTTTGTACTAACTTGGTTTTAAAGCCTTTACTTTAAAATATACTCCGTTCAATAGCTGAACTTAATCTTACAGAGAATGATCAAAGCTCATGTAGAAACAAACAAACAAATGAACAAAAGATTTTCTCCTTCTGTCAAACAAAGCTGTATGACACGTTTCCAGTTGTTAGTATCATGGTTGCTAGGCAACCTGGGCAGCGCAACGGAGGCTAGGCCGTCCCATTTCACAAGCCTCGCACTTCCGGCCTTAGCGGTCTTTGAGTACGCGGCCCTTGAGGATCGTTGAGGCTGCGTACTTTAAGGCTGCAGACCCTGAATTGGGATACAGCCTTAGTAGGCAGAATGCTACAGGCATTGCCCTAAAGAATGTAGCCTCATGGGCAGTGTAGTCCGTGCTGCTGGGAGAATGGACTGCCATACACGTTATGTGTCTGTGAGCGCGAGGAGGGAGAAAAAAGAGAGTGGAAAACTACCAGCTGTCATCGAGCAGAAACGGGAGCTGGAAGCATGTAAATATAATAATAACCACTGCAGCCAAGAAGAGTGCCTGACGAGCCAGTTGTAAGTAAGCTATTAAGACTCGACTGTACACCGTGTTCGTGTTTTTCTCCGAAACAATAAGTTCCGTTGGAGCAGCCTTTCAACGCCTCTCTCTGTCTCTCGCTAGCAAACGTGACCCAGACAACAAAGTAAACCTACGTATTAGCCAGAGGTCCCTTTACTATGGTTCGGAGCCGCGGACCTTCAGTAATAGTAATAAATCACATTCAAGCAGTTGTAAACAGCATGATAATATATTAAGTAATCCAAAGTATTCAGAATACGTTACTCTCATTGAGTAATGTAACGGAATACGTTACAGAATACATTTTGGGGCATGTATTCTGTAATCTGTAGTGGAATACATTTTAAAAGTAACCTTCCCAACACTGTATATGAAGCACTCATGTACTGCACTGTACTGCACACAGGTGATGTAACCTGGATGTAATGTTGTGTCGCGCAGACGCAGGGAACAATCAATTACCTGAACAGGCATGATTATGTAACATGCAGGAAACTGATCATTTCACCATTTCAGTTTCACTTCGGCCTGGCACATCTTGAACCTCTTGGTTGTTTGTAGTTAAAAACAGGTAAAACCAGAGGCTTGGTTTCCATTTTGATCCGAATCATCAGTGTGTACACAGTAATCTTTAAAAAACACAAAGACAGACAAATTTACAAGTAGATTTTATTGATGGTCATGATTGATTTTCACCAGGTCTGCGAAGGTACAAGTCTGTGCAAACATGCTCAAAAACACTACAAAGCCACTGAATTCGCTCCCAGCAACAGTGTACAGTTACATATGCATATACAGTACTGAAATACACAGAACCCTCCTCAGAGATATATTTAGAAAAATATAAAGTCCTAACTTTCCAACTCATAGACAGGAACATTTCACAACAAAAACGCACAAGTCCACATGTGCTGTGATGCCCTTATTAGCTGAAAGGGAATGAACATGAACATATGATATGGATTGAATGAGCCAAAAAATTTACATTTTTAGATTAAAATAAGTGAATTATGTTGCTTTAGTAAACTTTGCATGTGAGAACATGCCCAACCGTGTGCGTGTGGAAAGCAATGCAGCGATGTGTTTAACTAGGATGTGTCTACACATAATGCTGTGTGTTTATATTGTGGTGAGGTTCGTGCTGCACACAGATGGCGAGATGCACAGAGCCTGCAGCTTTGAAAAGGACCGCAGTGCATTTTTAAACCAGATCATTCAAGACCAGCAGCAGTTTTACTGCCTCCTAAGCGATTTGAGCCCAAGTGGAAACAGTTTTCTTGACGTTTGTTTGACTCCTGCGTGTATTTTTATCCACCTGTCTGACTCATTGCTGTGAGAGATTAGCTCACAGCTCAGCTTGGAAGGGGAGCTTTCAGTAAACATTTGCAGGAGTCGAGAGTCGTTAAAGCAGCAAGTAGTGTTTTCATTTCATTATCTAAAGATCACAAAGTGACATTTTCTTATGGCGGGCTAATCAGTGAAACTGAGCCGCTATGTGAATGTAATACCTTGGGATGTAAACTAGGTATTTGTGAGATAAAGAAGTTTGTTCTCTGCTCCTGTGTGCATGTGGGACATTTCAAAGGAGATCCTTGGAGATATTTACCATACCTCCCCGTGAAGACCGCCTCGTCTGTCTAAATAAATCGTTAACAAAAAGAGTTTCTGTTCAAAAACAGAGCAAAAGAAAAAGTAAATTGCTTTTTTTTTATCGTCTGGTGTGCGAGTATTGGGAGATGACCACATAAGGACTTTTATCACACTGTTTTTTTTTGTTTTTAATCAACAGCAGCTACAACCACTTTTACAAGTTTTTGCTATAATTAAACTCTTTTTTTTTTTTAAATCATCAACTGCAATAATTAGAGGATCAACCCTGCAACACCAGATGTGTCATATTTGACACTTTGTGAGACATCTACATCCGTTTGATTTTTGTTAACCCTAACCCCATTAAATCCTTTTCTTATATGCAAAATGATATAAAATAAAACTCATATGAAAACTAATATGTAATTATTTTTCTTACTTTGTCAAATGGTTCAAACAAACAATTTGAAATTTCTGGCAATTTTTGTGGTTCAGGCTTACAGGGTTAACTGTTTGGTACAAACACAAGTAGACAAATTTAAAAACCTTTTCAGTCTTTGAATTTGAGCCAATAATAAAACTAATTTCCTCGACGCAGCGAGGCCCACTCGAGAGACAATTTTGCTCAAATTGTTCAGAAACAAATATAATTTATCAAGTAAAAGCAAGAGTTGAATCCAAATTATGAAGCAATTCTTGACCTTGTTTGACTGTCAGTGAAGCACAAGGTGGTTGATGTAGCAGCTCATAAGGTACACGATCCATCGCCATTCACAGATTACTGTCACGTCATCACGGTCTGGGTCGTTTAGTCTCACTTCTGAATTTTGAACATTTTTAATGCAATGTTTAGTTTTGTGGTTCCCTTATGTGTTCATTTCTGTGTCCCAGCTTTTGTTAATAGCTGCTCTTGGTCTGCTTCAAGTGTCGTCTCATTTGTTTACCGTTTTATTTTGAAGTCTAGCTTTCTTACATCAGTTTTGCTTCCTGCCTGTGCTTTTCTCCTGATTGTTTGCACCTCTGTTTGCCTCCTGATTGGCCTCCTGTGTGTATAAATTGCCCGATCTTCCTTCTCTTAGAGCTCAAAGTGGTTGTTAATACTCCCTTGTATTCTGCCTTCACGCGTGCCTGGAGTTTCTGTTGTTTGTCTCTTTGAAGGATTTTGTATTCCTTTGTCCTCAACCTGAATAAAGGTTAGTTTTGAATCCTACATTGATTCAGCTCTGTCTGTGAGAGAGGCATGTGCTAGTTTATATTATTATTATTCTTCATTTAACTTCTTTAACAAAAGAATTTCAACCAATATGACCTCGCCCTCCGCTACCACGCCCCCTCACCCCATCGTGACCACGCCCTCCATCATGACCAAGTAGTATGCAACATGTGTGCAAAAGTAATATTTGAAGTCATCGCATCCTTTGATATTTCACAAAGTTATTATTATTATTTATTTTGTAGCGCATGCAATGTTTTATCCTTTTATGTCAATGATTTTGCTAAATGGACTGAATCGAATGCTGTTCTGTACATCAGGTGCGAGTGAGTTGTAAATATGTTAAAGTTTGTAAAGTGAAAGCGATAAAGGGCCCATAAAAGAACACATTTAACATTAACCTTGAGCATCGTTTGGGTGAAGTGATAAGTGTGCAAGCTTCACTAAAATCAGACCAGTACTGTAGGCCTACGACACCTGATGACCGAGCTTCACCAAGGCATCAGTCTTTCAGTCAGATGAGCTAAAAACAAGCACTGCGTGTTTTCTTCACTTGGGCTCTTTGGTAAAAATTCAATCACACATCAGGGGGCTGTTTTTGTAAAGGATATCATGACAGAATAATATTTAAACCCACCGGTGCAAGACAAAAACAAAACACTTAGAACTTTAGAGAACGCTTTTACCAAAAACGCTGGGACGCTGTATAACATATAAACAGAATGCAAGAATGTGCAAATCTCAAACCCATATTTTATTTGTAGAAATGATCAAGCAGAGACATTTTAGGATTTCAGGAAAAACCTCTCATTTTTAGTTCGATGGCAGCAACACGTCTTAAAAAAAGTTGGAACAGAGTCACTGACATGCAAAAAAAACCATCTACAAATGGAATAACCCAGAATAATGCTGTTCAACATAAACAGGCATGATTCTGTCATGGAAATCACTGCACGGGCTTCCAGAAAACATCGTCTGAACACAGATCACAATGACAGCCACTAAAAGCTCTCTCAAGCCAAGAAGAAGCCACATGTGAACACGATCCAGACACAGTGCCTCCTTCTCTGAGCCGAAGCTCTTTTAAAATGGACTGAGTCAAAGTAGAAACTGTTCTCTACTCAAATCATTCAAGATGTGAACTGACCCGCCTGCAGTCCCGACCTTTCAACAAAATGAAAAACACAACAAAAGAAGACCTGGAACCTTTAAGCAGCTAAAATCCTCAATCAGACAAAATGGCACAAAAGTCCAGCAGCTGTTCTCCTCTGTTTCCAGATGTTTACAGACTGTTGTTAAAAGAAAAAGGATGCTACAGAGCGGTTATCACTGACTTGTCCCAACTTTTGAGATGTTTTGCTGCCATCAATTCAAAATGAGTTTCTTAAAAATTGTACATTTTCTCATTTTAATGATTTGATTTGTTGTGTATGTTCTATTATAAATAAAATAAGAGTTAATGAAATTTCAACTCATTGCATTTCTGTATTTATTTACATTTTTCACAGCATCCCAGTTTTTTTCCTTTGATTGTGTTGTGTGTTTGTAATCGAGAATCTGAATCTTCTTTCAGTCAATGAAAGACGTGTATGCACGTATATAGCGCTGTTGGGAATGACCGCGGTGGGTTTAATGCCATATGTCCACTTGTAATTGTTTTCCTTCTCAGTGACGCGCTCCGAGCAGAGGCAATGGGAAGTTACAGTAGATGAATGGCCAAATGAGGAGGAGAGGAGACTCATTACCTCCTCATTAATGCCAGATGCTGATGCCGACGGGGGTCAGATGGGAGAAACAAGACGTCACTGCAGCAGACGCAAACTGCAGATTGGATCAAGTGTCCACCCTAAACAGATTTGCTGTGTGTGTTTGAGAAGATGGGGACTGCCAGCAGGAGCACGTGAACTTCAAAGAAGGTGAGGTCAGGTAAGGTAACGAGAAGGCAGCACAGGCCACATTCTGTAATACTTGGATTTTTTTTTTTTGCTTTCGACTGGTCAGAGATCTAAAGAAACCGACTGATGGCACTTCTGAAACAGATGTGTTTTCCACAGACCTCCAGAGTGGGTTTCTAAAGCCCTTAATGGAGACTTCAAAGCAGCACGACTCTCTGATCGGGTTTTAAAGATGTAAACTAAGCGACCCTCCTGTAAATATTCACATGAGAGACGTCTTACGGCATGCCTGTGCGTGAAAGTGTAAGCGTGCACCTGCTGATATTTTCCATCTCACTTTCACATTGTTAGTGTGTGTGTGTGCAATGAGATGAAATGAGGGGGGGGGGAAGCAAAGCCAGCCCTCTTTTACGCATCCACAGGTCGTGTCCTTGAGTTGTATACGAAGGTAGAAGAGTGTGCACATTTACTCACTGTACGCTTATACAAACAACACCTCAGTAAAGTTAAACAAGACATTAAATAGAGAGAAAAGGGGCCGCACGTCCCCTGAACATGAGGATATACTGAAGCAGGACACAAAGAGGATCTATTAACAGTCAGCAGCTCCATGGTCCCGTAGCCGGGGCTTCAACAACTAACTGCCCCGTCTAATAGCTAAAAGTCATTCTGTGTCTAAGCATTTCTTCCATCTTTCAAAGTATTGTGAAGTGTATTCATGTGCGTCGCCTTGAAACTGCAGGTTTCCACAGAAATGACCTCTGTTAAGTATAATCCGCATTTATTTTCAGAAATAAACGTCTTTTCTTGCTCCAGATGGATAAAATACATGTTCGTAAGAGCGTGCCTGTCAAGCTTTGTGTTTCTGGATGTGGTGGGGTGGGATTTTTTTCTACAGTATTCTGATAAAACACATTAGACCTTTTGCTGCGTTTGGGTAGAATTTGACACATTTTAAATGACAGTTTTCATGGATGTCTATTTTTCATTCAAGCAAGGCCTCAAATTAGCTGTGCAGTCACACAATCCCATTTTATTTAGCTTTGAGAGAGTTCCTCCTAAGGCTAACCCCTGTAACAAGTTCCAAGAGGTTCCTATTATGTACCATAAACGTCTGGGGGACAAAGACTGCGGGAACATACCAAGCAAACATTCTCGACCCTGGACCTACTTTTCTATCAAGAGATCCACGTTCAGCAACCGATTAGATCATTAGAACAAGCATATGTATTTAAAACCTATTCAAACATAGGTGATATAATCAAATATAATACAATTAAATTTCAATTTACTGTTTAATATGAAAAAAATGTAAGAATAAGCTAAAATTCTCTCATTCGTTGTTATTGTACTCTAAACTGTTTTAAGATGCAGTGATTTTGAAAAGATAAATGTCTGAAATTGTTTTATTTATTTTAAAAACAATCATCAGTAGTTTGCATAAATGGAGAAGAACTATAAATGACCATTAACAGTTTTGTAGTAAATCGATTATCTGTCAGTCAATTATCTTTGTTTTAAAAGGAACAAGGACACATGCATTTAATTTGTCCATTTAGCTGGATCTCTGTTTTACATGGAAACAACGTCCCCATCGGCCCATCTCTAGTTATTGTTAGCTGACAAAAGGTGATCTTTTTCAGTAATTTTTGTCTGGGAAAAAAATGCTGTGTTTTGACAGGTATTAAAGACTCCATAAGATACCATCATACAAGGAAAAATAAAAAATAAAAATAAAATATGACCATCAAGTGGACCATTATGGCTTTTGCCATAATGGTCTGCTTGGGAAAATAAATCTGTTGGAGTTTTTTCTTGGCCTTCAGACAATAATTCTGATTGCTACAGTGCCGGCAAGGACATCCAAAAAAATAAGTCTTCCACATTTTTCACACATATTCTTTCGTCTTTTACGGTACTTGCAGGCTGCAGCTGCACTTCATATTTACAACTCTAGAAATATATTAACTTGCACAGCTAATGTCGATTAGCAAATTCTGCTTTTATCCTCATCTGTCTCTAATTAAAGTGCATCTGCCACTGCTACAATTTTGAGCCCTTTGCAAGAATGCAAAGCTTGACAGGCTTACAAACAGAAGGATTGGTCACCTTTTAATTGATTTTAGAAGTTCATTAACACTTTTGAAGCAGTCTTATCTCAGCAGGTGTATAAAAAGGAAGATTTTATGCTACACAGAAAGTGACTGGTTGTGTGCCTCTGGCAGCAACAGCAGTGTGTGCGGATGTCGAACTGATAGTTAGCCTTAGCAGTGATAACACAGCAGAGCGCCACTGATGTAAGTGGAAATCTAACAGCAGTTAAATAAAAATGTTTGGCTACATTACTTGGTGTCCAACTGATCTGATCTCCGAGACGTGCAAAGCTTAGCACCAAAATGCTAAGCTTTTTGGTGCTTCATCCAAAAGAAGTTGAATAAAGAAACAAAACTGCACGGATTACCATGTTAATCTGATCCATGTCTGTGAAACCATCGTCGCAAAATCTCCATCAACATTTTAAACACATTATTTTGCCTCTCTTTAAACTTCATTGAGTCCACTGAAAACTTCTTTACCACCTCTTCTTCCCGACTCTTCACACAGCCGAGCTGGAGACCTGGAGCCAGCCCACCTCTGTGTAGGCCCCCGTCACATGCCAGTACACCGCCCCCATCAGTTTGGTCCACACCATCTGCACCTCTGCCGTGAAGAATTCTGGGAAATCTTCAGAAAACACCTCCAGCATCACACTGCTCAGGATCTGAGAGGAAGAGGTGACAAACAAATTTCATTAAGCGAGCCACAGAGAGACGGAGAGCGAGGGGAAATGTGGCTATTGAGATAATAAGGGCGGGGGTGCGAGTAATGCAGAAAAATTGTGTTCTGTGGGTAAAGCGGGAACAGCATGATGGAGAAATAGGAATTCATTTCAGCGTTACAGAGAAGTGGGCGAGACAGGTGAGAATTGAAAATGATAACTGTAAAACATGAAAGCAGTGGGTGGACACGCGAAACAAAGGAACAGAAATGACAAAGTCGAGAGAAAGAGCAGCAGAGGTGGCTAAAGCAAAAGCACAGAGAGAGAAAGCTCAGTGTAAGTGTGGCAGCCCACCATAAAGTCAGCTGACCTGGGCAGAACTGGGGCAATAAAACCAAACTGCTGATGCTGATTTAACAAAAGCTTCTCAACACGAGGTTATGAGGGGGGGTTCTATCAAAGCTTTGAGTCATATTTGACATGTTATGTGACACCAAACAAAAGGATTTCTATCGGCTGAGCAGCTGCATGAATGTGATATGGATGAAAGTTACCGTGCTGGGAAAATCAAAACTATAGCCCTCTTTGTGTGGTTTTACCTGGAGACATCAAGTAATTTGTTACAGATTTGCAACAAAGAGGGGATATGCCGAACATGGTCACCTCAGACACATAGCTCCGGCTCTGAGCACAGAAGCCCCGCCTACCATCTATTCAAGCCTTCTGTTTGCAAGGAGCTACAACAGCTCGTTTTAGAACAGAGGCTGAAGCAAGGCTTAGCTTCTCATAAAACCAGGAATAAAATAGTGTGTTTAAGGTTTGTTATGAACAGGTAAAAATAATTAATTATTATTAATGTGATTTATGTAAAAGCTGTTCCAGTAGAGTCCAAGACTACATCCTATATGGAGCTGAACACATGACGTCTCCATTGGAGGAAGCACAAAACATGCTGGGAACGTGCTGGAGAGGTTGAAGCTTTTAGGACATAAATGTATCTTTGTTTGTTTTGTGTTGGGGTTTTTCTTTGTTTGTTTGGTTGGTTTGGGGGGTTTTTTTTGGTTGGTTTGGGGGGATTATTGCTAAACTGTCAAAGCATATGAGGCTTTGTTTTCTTCTAAACAATCTTCAATGGCAGTAGAGGATATCCACTTTGTCTCCCTCTTTCTAAAAAAATCCTTTACATGAACACATGGCCTTCAGTTTACTTGGGTGAGAGAATATACTGTATTGTACAGAGTAAAAGACCTAATCTTCCCATTCGTAAGACCACGGATTAGAAATTATCTAATCAACTTGAAGGTGAGGCTAACTGTCACTCAAATGTGACGACAGTTGGAGTTAAGAATTACCAAATAACCCAACGTGTAAGTCTTTGGACTGTGGGAGGCACAGGGAGAGCATCAAGCTCCACACTGGGGTGTCTCCAGCTTGCTAGTGGACTCAAACCCAGGACCGTCTTGCTGTGAGGCAACAGTGTTAACTGCGGCACCACTATGCCACAAACCCTTTATCTTATTAAACTAAATGAATAAAGGTAGTTGATGATGATCTGGTAGGATTTATTTCTGTATCCTGCCCAGTGGCCGGCATGAAGAATGTGATCAGTGAACAGTGTGGGCTCTCGTATTTCATCCAGTCATTAGATCTAAGGACTTCTGGTTGTATCGATGTCTGTACGGAGCGTTTGGACATTCAGGAAGCAACTTGGTGCTTCCTTGAGTCACTGCGGTTTTGTTTTATATTTCTCAAACGTAAATGTTGCAGTATACAGTCCTCAGAGGTGATTATCAGGTCATTGTGTTTGTTTGGTACCTAATTCGCTTGGACAAACATCTGGATGTTCTCCTTCAGTCGTTGTTGCTTGTTTCTTGTTCCCATATCTCCCCACTGTTCCTTGTACAGAGTTTCTTAGTTTTTTCTCACTTATATGTGCAGCACCTTCAGTTTTACCACCTGGCTGTCAGTTTCAGTTTTGTCTCAGCTATTAAGCCAACCTTAAAAAAAAAACACACACACAAAAAAAAACTTCAGGCCATAATGTGACACATTATGAAAAAAAACAGGAAGTATGAAATGTATGACTGGCCTAAAAAAAAAAATAAAAAAAAAAAAAGTCAGGCGTTGAACACGTGAGGTTGAAAATTCAAGGAATATACAGTGGGACTAATTTTTTTAATGACCTATTCACAGAGTGATCAATGCAGGTCTAATTGGTGGTAGAGTTTTCTCTCGTTACTGTTGCGTTTATGAACCAACACAACATTCAGAAGACTTGAAGAGAAATAATCTACTTCCCCCGTCAGATGGAGCAGGAGGAACACTGAATGTAACACAAGTGTTATGTAAAAACATGAGCTGTATACAAAAATGAGTTTAAGACATTTTTAATTGGTTCTGATTCTGTCTACGCTTCTCTAAAAGCTAACTTTTTAATGTGCTCCAGGTTTGTGGAAAACTGTATTTACTTGTGAAGCACCTTACACATATAAGTTTTTACAGAAAGCTATAGGCAAAGTAAAGACTGATGTTGTTGCTGGGTTGTTTTTTTTTTGTTTGTTTGTTTTTTTAAATTGTGCATAAAACTTTTTTTAATTTAAAAAGATAGCAAGAGAGAAGGTTCACATGATGGTAGTGTGGACAGTGGAAATATTGGAGAAAGGATGTTGAATATTGAGCTGCTAGTCGGGAGGAAAAGATTCAGAGGAGATTCATAGATGTAGTGAAGGAGGCAATGCAGAGAGTTGGTGTGACAGAGGAGGATATTTGGGATAGTGTGAGAGAGACATTAACTCCTGCGGCATGTAGTTGTTTCTATGGCCGCTGTTATTTTACTGTTGTGGGTTTTTCCTATATAATGTATTTGTTGCACTTTTGTTGCAGTGGTTGATATGTTATGGGACCAAAAAGCTGCCACCTGGCATTTCTCTCACTTGTAAAGGAGATTTGATCTTAACAGGACTTATTAGTGTCACAGCTCTCCGCATATATACACGTGTCTTTTTTCAGGAATTTGGACTGTTCGTCCACATATAAATCACTGAAAACGAATTTTCTGAAAAACTCCAGGGTGTAGATTTTCAGAAGGATTGTTCCCCTGCTAAATAAAGGACTGAATCTTATATCAGATGAGGATAGGACATCCTTCTCCCAAAAGTCCAGCCGTTGGTCTTCTCATTTGTCAGATGTTTATGGACTATTGTTAAAAGATTAGGGAATGCTCAATATTCCACGATTCTTTGTTTTCTTAGTGTATAGATAGTTTCATGTATTTCCCCCTTAATTGCCTCAGTTTAATAGTGGGAGTTTAATTCTTCCCACAGTGCTCTATCCTCTTGTGTCAAGTCTCCCGTAGTAAATCCCTGTATGCATTTTCCCACTTCCTGTTTTATCTTGTGAATTAGTGTTCCTTGTGCTTTGCTTCCAGCGTGCTTCCCTTGTCTCGTCTTGTGTCTCGTCTGTGATCTAGTTCAACTGTTTCATTTTCCTCATCTCTCTCCACTTCCCCAATCCTTCCCCGATCCAGGCACTGTTGGATCCTTCTCCATGTGTTTTCAAGCTTTTGTTTCTGTATTTTTCCAGGTTCTCTTTTTGGACTTGTGTTTTACCTTTTGAATTATTTCAAACAGCTTGCTTTAAGATCAGTCTTCCTGCGTCTGTGTTAGGGTTAGGATTAGTAATGTAAACATCATGATCAGAATGTCTGGCAGGCAGAGAGTGGACCCAGAGTGCAGGACTCAACAGATGGAAGCAAACTTAAAATCACAGCTTTATCTATGCTAGCAAAAGCAACACAGGGTTGAAAAGGAACAAGCTTGAGGCTAAACAGATGGACAGAGGCACACACACCATGAGAGAAAAGAAGGACACGCAGATAATATGTACACAAGAGGAGATTAGGGCAGAGTGGAGACACCTGGGAGCACAGCTGAACAGAATGTGGCAAAACAAAGCAAAAAGAGGGAGCACATGAGCAAGGGACTATCAAAATAAAACAGGAAGTAACATATGCTGAGACCAGGACTAAGACGTACAAGCTTGGCAGAACAAACAATGGAACGGGACACAAAAGGAGACAGAAAGGGTAACAAAATATGGAGATACAACTGATGATAAGACACAGAGATGAGACTAGGACAGAATGAACATGAAAGGCAACAAACTGCTTCTTTCACAAATTTCCCAGGTGGTGTTAGGGCAGCTTTGGATTTCATTTTTATAAGATGGTTTGGATTGAGAGGTTCAGTTGCCTTTGGGTAACTGATACCATCAACAGTCAAGAGGTGACTATTTACAATAGACTTGGCTTCACAAAACAGAGTTCAAAGAGAGCCATCCTCCTGCACACTGAGCAGTAGTGGCGTTCAGCATGTTATGAATGGTCCAAATGTGGACTAGAAATATAAATAACTACAAGGCTCTAAGAAATACTAAACTCAAGGCAAATATAGAGCTAAAACATAAATATTCCTTAAATCCAAAAGAACAAATCATAAATCCAAAAATAAAACTCAACACAGGGTTAAAGATCTGGGACTAAATTAATGCATTTGTTATTATTGGTTTTTATGCCCATGCATGTTTTTACATTATACAGAACAACGATTACAAGATAAACTTGATGCTCCATAAAATTCTTCCATAATTTGTTTGCATGTGTCTAAGTAAAGATTGAAGCCTCCAGCTTCACAAAAGCTTGAAGTATTTCTATTAAAAACACACACAAAGCAAAACACTGCAGCTACATTTGAGAAATAAAACAGAAAAACAAGTAAAACAGGAATTCTGTCCTGAGTAAAGTGGCAAAAGTGAAATATCCCCCATGATATTAGACTGCTAATGAGACAATTCTTTGGGCTGCTTTGATAATTGAAGGGGCTGCTGAAGCAAGAAAATACCTTTATTAAACTGCTAGTTATTCAGGATAGAGAACCCCTGACAATAATCTTTTGCCGTGCTTTGTTTCGCAGTCTGAAAAAAAATAGCCCAAAAAACGGGTCATTTTCGAAAGTTACCTTAAAGTACACGGGTTCCACTTTGTGTTTGATAGCGTGGGCTTTTCCCACCAGGGCCAGCACCGACGACACCTTCTCAGGGTCGTGGAGGTTTTCCACCACACTGTTGATGGCATTCATCACCCTGCAGGCATGCTGCCGGAGTTGGCTGCTCCGTGCCATCTCCTCAGGATCCTCCAGGTGCTGAAACTGGCTAAAATACTGTTTGGCCGATGGGAAGTTGACAAAAAACCTAAAGAGGTGAATAAAATTCATCATTAAAATATGAAAGCAAAATAGCTTTTTTTACATTCCAGGTTGATGTGTGTGAATGAATACGTCAGTGTTTTTACATTTTGGACCAGTACTGTCCACAGAGGATGAAGTCTGCTGATCAATTTCTGATTTCTACTTGGGAACCATGAATAACCACATAATTATATATGCAGCACCCCTTTCTAAAACTACCATTTCTAAAAGTAGCAAAAGTCAGTTATTGTTTACAGTTTTTGTTATTTTTCTACACAGACTTAAAAAATCAAATGAGGGAAAGATTCAGAATAAAATACGGCTTATCGTCCCGAACCCCTCATTCATCAAAAGCTTGTACTCAAACATATGACTGTAAGTTAAAAATAATAGTTGAGATTGAACTGTATTTCCATTTCTATCAAAATTCAGGAGCTCCATAGTTCAATTAGATTTTAATTGGTTGCCATATGGTGGTTTATATTGTAAGGTAAAATATTAGAAAGAAACTCAAACAACCACACAGACCCCTATAAATAAGCACTTGGTGATGGTAGGAAGGAAAAACTCGATTTGAACAAAAATGTCCTACAAAACCAGGCTCAGGGACGCATTTGGGGAAGGGGAAAGAGTAAAGAGCAAATGAGTTCATTAAGATATGACGTGGTAGGATTATTCGAGATGTGAGGAAAAACATGTTTGTAAGCAAAATTCAATTCTGACTTTAACAGGGAGCAAAAGAAGAAAAGCTAATATGGGAAACATATGGTTCCCCTTTCCAGTTACAGTTAGTATTTTTGCTGCAGTGTTCTGGATCTCCTGAAGGTGTTAATACAAGACAATGATGGCGTGAGTCAAATGGAACAAAAGTCCGCTCCTGTATTGATGAGGTAAACGGCTGCCAACATGCCAACACACACACACAAAGATCATGGGCAGGCAACCATCTTCTCACTCGTGGCTGCAAAGCCTATAATGTCTGATCATCCAGCAAATAGCAGAAAAGGGGCCAAAACTGCACTTGCAGCTGGCTCATGTATGATTAATGCCATGAAAAGAAAGCCCCAAAGTTTCCACTACACTTTCAAGGTGTCATCCTTTAAGACTCTGATGACTTGGGGACGAAGCTTTGACATGTCCACTGTAATCATTAAGGACAATTACAGGATTCAGTATATAACATTTTAAAGCCTTGAAGATAAAAAGCTTTTTATTTAAATAACTGAAGACTCTGAGGAACATTTGATTGAATTCACACATTTTCCGTGGAGAGAAAATGTGGTTTTAAAGTCTTTGAAACAGAGAAACAAGAAAAAAATAAACTTTTACAAAGTGGAATGAAGTAATCAGTGTTCTTCTCTGCTCACCGACAGTAAGTGTACTAACAGGATTTCTTTGAAATGGAAAATATATACACTGCACTTCCAGAGGAATTTCACAAAGAATGAGGAAAAGAAGATTTAAAACCCTGAAACCATATATTACAAGGAACAAAAGAATTAGGAAAACAGGAGCAACAAATAATCTTCATGCTGTTGTTTACATTTGAATATCTGTGACAGCTAAAACATCTAGCAAGGCTTTATTGGCACAAATCCCATTAGACAACGGCAATAACAGCAGCGGCAATATATCATAATGAGAAGCACACTTGCATTTGAAGAATGTGTCGACTTTGGCTTTATCCAAATTTACACATGAAATGAATGACCCAAAGCCATTTAGCCACTAAAACTATCATCCCAATGATACCCCAAAGCTTTTAAACTCTCTACATGCCATAAATTTTAATCAACCAGTCTCTCCCTCTCTCTCTTTCTAAGTTTCTGACAAAAAGTGCAATTCCTTTCTGTAAAGTGTTTAATTCGCCTTGGCACCATCCGTGCGGCAGGAAGTTCCCAGCAGAAACCTTTACATTACAGAAGCACTGATGAGACACTGCAGTCAAGACTGATCAGGCTCTTTGAGTGTAATTGGATGCAGGTGGGCTGAGGAGTGCCGTTTAATTTTCAAGCGTGGTGTATCAGACTGTAGCACGCTGAAAGACACCTACAGAGGTTGTAATATTAGAAATACATGTTAAAGCATGTATGTTGTTTAGCTTCAGCAATATCCTAGTTATGTGTATGTGTGTGTATGTATGCTGAGATTTAACTGAAAGGTAAAAGATAATTGTTTGCCTTCTCAAATAAATATTATCAAGCAAACTGGTGACATATGCAGGTGGCATGGCCGGTTTGAATGAACTATATGCGATTGATGTTTTTTTGGGCATGTTAGGCTGATTGGGCACCAACTTAGCAATCCTCTGGACGTATTCCACAACTGGTACGAGAGTAACTGCTCAAGGTTTTTGGTTTCCCTTTAGTAAAATCTTTGGCAAACAGTGCCCTGCAACAAAAACCTCATTGTGATTGCTTTGGTTGCTAGAGTTGCCACAGTTGCATGGAAGATGCTGACTTGTCTGCAAGCACTCAAATAGCCCCAAACAGCAACGATGCTTGACACAAACAAGATCCAGTTGCCTTCTAGGTAAAAGCTGTTTTACCACTAAAAGAACAACTTTTACTTTGAAGGTGAACAGTCTGTTTCCTGTTTGTGCTACATTTGTCACAGTTTCTCAACAGTCATAGTAGCACTGTATGCTACTTGGTAACCACTGAAATTGGTCACAATGGGATCACAGGCCAATCACTGGGCCTATGTAAACGGGGCTTAGCAGTTCATTTTAGAATGAATGCCACAACCACACGCAGCAGACTGGGAACTACTTATTTTCTAAAAATAAAATAATAATTTAAAAAATTTAAAAAATCCTAAAAGTGAAGCAAACTCAGAAGTGGCAGAAACTGAATTCCTTTTAAGGCCACTGATTCCAGAGCAAGTGAATCCTCAGACTGCCATGGTATAATGTCTACGTTTACAGCATTAAACAGCATTTACAGATTTGGAAAAACAGATTTGGTCTTGGATATTTTCCCTCTTCATACGAACTCTGAGATGAATGGCTATCTTCATTAAGTTGGCTCTCTTTGCTGTGTTTGTGCTGTTGAAGACTTTTGGAGTATTTTTTTTTACAGATTTTCTGACTAATATCGTGGCTGCAAGGTGACCACCCAAGATGTTTATGTTTGGTGAGTACAGTTATAGGGTTTGGCTTTTTTTAGACTGTTGCTTAACCTTGATTAGCTGGTATGTGGGATTGTGTATTGCACCTGTACAGTTTATAAACTCATCTTGTTGCCCTAGCTCACTTGTGTTAGCTGATAAATTACGACTCAGCCTTTTTTATTCATATCACAGAGGTAAAAACACAAAATATTAAAGATTCAAAAATGCAGACAGTGTGTTAGATCAATTTTTATGATGTCTATGAAAATGCCAAATTTTCTATCAGAATTATGATGAAAATAAATGGTGATTTATTTTTAATATAAATTCTTCTAAGGCTCAAAGGTGCGTTCCCTTTGATCGTGAGCAGGTAGCTTCCTGCTTGGCTGTCAGTGTAATGCAGTTTTCTGTTGTCTAAAAAAGAATATGGCTCACTGTGCTTATTTGTTTGTCCTCCAATGTTTAATTCTAATTTTGCATTTCTAGCACTAATTTGCAAGAATTTGTCTTGATCTCGATCTGATGCAGATCTCCCTCTTTACATGGGACTACACAACATTTTTATTATTATTCCATCCATATTTTTCCCGTGATCTTCCTCGCTCCACCCTCTTAACAAAACAAAAAACTCATGTTGAAATAAATTTAAACTTCCAATCCTGACTTCACCATCCACTGGGTGATGTCACGTTGGCTTTGTCCATCTTTTGTTTACAGTTATTTACAGCTATGTTACATCTGAAAAATGTTTAGTTTTATCACTCAATATATTGGCTCTTTGCAGTAGGGAATAATTTGAACATTCAGCAATATGATTGAACTGATTGGTAACAACTGACTTAAAATTTCAGCCTCAAAAAGATGAGCATCTTGGACCACTTTGAGCATTTTGGAGCCACATTTTGTTGTAGCATGATGATTGAAGTAACATTTTAAACCAGCGATCTCAATAAGGCATCTGTAAGAAACTGCTGTATCTTAAAGCCTTTAAAGTCCATTTATTTAAAACATAAATGTAACATTTTAAACATTATACCATGTTAGTAAATGGAGATATTTAGAGATGCATATTTTTTAGCACTGCTGTAGAAGATACGTTTGCCTTGACCTTGTTGAATTCATGTGAGTTGTTTGTGAAGCAGTACATAATGGCTTTTAATGCGAGAGTCCACAGAAAACATTTAAAGTACCTATAATTTGGTCGCAACACATCAAAAAATATTTTGAGGAACATCCAGCTCGTACATTCAATGTTGGCGAAGCCCCATTTGTTGAAATCACAAATGTGTTTTATTTGTCCACAGCTTCCAGCATGAATGGTGTGAATGATCGGACTCAATAGGAGCGCGTTGGAAAGGTGAGACCTGCATTATTCTGCCAAACCTTCACACTGCACCCTGACATCCTCTAATGTTCACGCACAATGCCAGCTGAAACATTTTCCATTATTCAGAAATCCTGCGTTAAATGTGAGGACGGAGATAATTTCTGATCTGATGTTTTCGCTTTAAAATGAAAACAGACAAGACGGTTTTATTTTTAATGTCGTCCCTATTCCTGTTAAAACTCTAAATCTATTTCTTTCACCTGTACTTTAATTTCACTTAGTGACTCCAGATCTGAAAACAGTTTTTGTCTAGTACGTCCCTTTTTTTTTTAGTTATGATGTTCCAAGTAGTAGACAATTACAATGACTGGACATAAAGAGCAATGGCGTTCAGAAATTAAAAAATAAGTTTGATCTCCAGACAAGTGAAGCCAAAATATTAAAGAAGCCCTTTTTGCTGATCCTGTGAACCGATGCTTGACTGAATCAGCAGCACAGGGAGCATTAGTGCAGGTTGTCCAGAATTTTCCTGGCAGTCACAGAGCACACAGTTATGCTGAGCTTTA